CTTCACAATGAATGTAAAATGGATGCTATCCAGGAGGTGGGAGAGTCTGCTGACTGTGAGGTACAGGGTCAAAGTTTACTCAATGATGAGTCCACGGCGAACCGTTCGGGACATCAATAGCTCTGATTAAAGCCAAGATGGAATTTCTCCAGATCACTATTTTTAGTTTAAATATTTGCAGTTCAGATTTTGATTTGATACGATTCAGACTTAAATGATTAATCCTGAGTTTTTATACATTGAACATGATGTGGAATTAGAACACCATTTATAAATGCAATGCAATGAAAGTATGAGCCACACTGATAGGACTTATGTGTCTAACCTTGAACATCAGCTCATGTTGGACAGCAACTTCCAGATATTTTTGCCAGCAGATAATGTCTGTTGTTCTGTTGATCCTTTATCTTTTTTTCTACTTTTTTAACAGGCACAATCAATACTACAGGCATCAAATGAAAAGCTGGACCTCCTTAAATATTCCTTGGAGGAACGAGTGAAAGAACTTCCTGATGGCCACCCTAGGAAGAGTATAACCACCGAGGAACTGTCCCTTGGTTCAGTCAAATCCAAGTCCATAGCACTAACGGGTAAGTTATTTTTGTCTCTGAAAGATCTGTGCATAAACTAAACAAGTATATTTAACATTGAAATATCCGAGCATGTTTCCATCTGTGTGAAGTCTGACTGGAGGAAACTCTGAGTTATTCTACCGATATTCCAGCAGGATTTATTCTATGTGACGTGGATGCAAGTTTAAATGTGACCGGTGACATTTTAAATGATAACAATATGTAACTCTTAGCATTATTCTTCCAAATGTACTGAGCTAGCTTTCTGCATAACTTTTAAATGAGTGAATTATTAGCATAAACTAAGTAAACAAGTTAAGCATTACACTTTGAGGAATACTTTACTAATGGGCAATTAGATAAATGACTTTACTTACTGTCTAAAACACAGTTTATAATAATCTGAATATGTGAAAATGACATGTTACTGAGAATTTGCGCATTCTTGGTATTCTCATTTATTCAGTTTTACTTTTTTTTATTATCTTAGAGTCCCAAGTGTAAAGGTTAATCCAGACATGGTTAATCCAGACATGGACTCCTTGTTCACTTTGCATAGAGGGGTTCCAACTTGTGTAGCGTGGACTTATTGCATTCTGGTTCTGAATTACTCCTGTGAGTGTTTAGAAATATCTAATAATGCAAATAGTATAGGTTTCCTCTCTAATGGCACCAGTGAGATAAACCTTGTCTGAGTACCAAGCAGGGACTAACTGACGCTACTGAGTTTTTATCTGTTTGTAAGTTCAGTTTTGGTTGATTTATATTCTGATAAAGATGTAAAAGCTGCCTAATCCATTTCATATTCTGTGTGTGCTACTTAGACCAAACACAACATTTTCTCTAAAATAAATGTGAAAGTGTAATAGCCATTGTTACAATATGTATTCTGATTGTTTGACAGGTACTCTGAAAGTGCGAGTAAAGGGCTGTCACGGTATTCTGGAGAATGTACCTGGCAGACTAATGAACCCGTCAGATGTTCTCCCTGGCAGGAGTCTGCGTCGAGGAAGATTCTTATTACTAAACCGGATCAGAAGAAACAACCGTGGCAGCAATCAGAACATCCAAGAGACTTTTGACTTTTCTAGTACAGTGATTTTTATCTTATTAATCCCGTTATGTGTACAGTGACGCTCAATATCTGGGATATCGAACCTTTCCCTGCAACAATTGTTAAACTACATATCCCATTATTTACTGACAGAATTTATAATCATAGTCCAGTAACATTTGACTGGTCATGGTTAGACAAAGTCTGTATAGGAAACTTGGATCCTTTAACTCGGTAATGTTCCTGTTTGGGGTGAATGGAGGCGAAATACAAATATTATCTAATAGGATTCTCCGTCCTTCACAAAGACTCTGCCAATCAATCACAATACTGAAAGTGTTGTCAAGGAGATCAGTTTTACAAAACATATTTCCAGATATCCCTCCACAATTGCCTTTCCCCACCAAATTATTTTACTTATTCTGAATGAAATTACTCTAAACTTTAAAAGTGAAGGAAACATTTACCAAAGATTCTTCAAGCTGGGAATCCTATCTGTCAACTTTATATCCTCCTCTAAACAAGTTACAAGTTGCCTTTGAAACGTCCTCCTGGTCCATGGGGAGAATACTGGCTCACAACACCCCTTACATTATAGTTTTATCTAATCAATAGACGAGATCTTTACTACTTTACCCGTTGATGATTTCATTGTTTCATTGGGATTGTGGCTTTACCATTCTGAGACTTGAACACAGCTCACAGCCAGACTTTCAGTTTTATCCTCTGGACTTTCCTGATTATTTGTTAATGCTGATAACATTTCTGACTCTTTGTTAATGCAATGTCTTGGGTTAGTTTTCTCATCTATTTAATTGCCTTTAAAATGTTATTATTAATACATGTATCTAACAATGACATTGTGATATATAACAGTACATTATTATGTAATCCTGTAGATTCATAATAAATGCTAATAATATTAAACAAATACAATATTACACAAAACTTTACTGTATAGTAGAAAACATGGAACAGTGTGACAAAAAATAAATAAATAAATAAGATAGGCCTACCTCTTAGATCAACATGAAAAGCCTTGACATAATGTAATACCCAGGGGTGCATAACACAGGAGGGTCTATGTATCAAACCTCCTAGGAAACTGTAGCACTACAATATATGTGGAGTATAAACTGCAAGAAAGTCCCCTTAATCCAGTGTGCCAATACAATGCTGCAGGATGGTACCTACTTGATCTAGTGTGCCAAAACAAGGCTGCAGGATGGTACCCCCTTAATCCAGTGTGCCAAAACAAGGCTGCAGGATGGTACCTACTTAATCTAGTGTGCCAAAACAAGGCTGCAGGATGGTACCTCCTTAATCCAGTGTGCCAAAACAAGGCTGCAGGATGGTACCTCCTTAATCCAGTGTGCCAAAACAAGGCTGCAGGATGGTACCTCCTTAATCCAGAGTGCCAAAACAAGGATGCAACATGGGACTTTTTCCAGAGTGCCAAAACAAGGCTGCAGTGGGAAACCTCCTGGTCCCACATTGTTATCATGCTGTACGTTTCCATGTGTTAGTGTAGTGAGACTATACAGAATCAGGGAAATCCATTAGATATATCAGTCTTGAGTTTTACTAAAAAAATGGCGCTGCTCCAAAGTAAAAACCAAGTGGATAGTTTTAGTCAGCCAACAATCTGTACGGTTGTTGCAATGTATAGCAAAGTAGTTTTAAAAAGAAAAAGAAGCTTTTTACTGCTACTTTGCCGTACCATTATACATTGCAACACCTGTTCAGATCGTTTGATGGCCATTGTTCCATAACAAGACATTTTTAACATTAGTCTCTACAGCAGCTCTCAAACTAAATTTTAAGTTGGTAGACAGGCCTTATGCCCTACAATGGCCTTATTTATTGTAAACTCCCTTACCTGGTTCTAATGGGTTGGTTACACAAATTATTTATTGAAGGCACCTCTGTAAAACAATTCTTCCAAATCTGTGGACAATATGTATTTACACTAAACATCGCTATTCAAATGAAAATCAAAACCACAATATCGATCTATATCCTGTTCAAAAGTTGTAGCAGATCAACACCAAACTACTCTACCCACATATAAACTTAGACTCACTCATCGTACAAACTCCAATCTTTACATTATTTGTCAGACAAAAAAGGCCGACAGGAGGAACATCATTTTCCACATGTTTTTAGTGAATTGGTTCTAGTGTTATTTTACATGTATCTCTTTGCCTATTTTCAGACTGTATTACCTGGCTGATTATAAATTTGTCTAGTTTTTTATTTTGTTTTGCTTTTTTTTACAGAATACAGGAGATTAGACTCCTTTGATGAAAGCAAACTCCTAGAGCTTTGTGTAAAGCTAATAGATGAACCTTTATATCGTCTGTGTATTGACCAAAGCCACGTAGAAATGTTCTTTAAATTAAAATACTCTTAGCCTTTTAAGTTGAGTTCCTGAAATTTCCTTACAGGTGAAGTCCGTACTCAGCTGAAGATCGATCATATTCCAGTGGGTTCAACAAGTTGGAAAACTGTTTCTAACCCATCCTGGAATAAGACATTTAAACTGGATTTAGATAAGGTACATACGGCATGCCTGAATTATTTTTTTTTAGCTTGAATCCATTTGTGGCCCCAGGTAGAATTAATACGTTATAAATCTTCAAATCCTGTAAATAGTTGTCTAAATGGAACTCCTATTTCTAAACATTTTAGGACCTTAATGTATCAGACAGTTAAAATTTAGTTATTTAACATTGGGTTTGCTTATCTTTCTCTGGATATTGTTATAGGATTTTTTAAACAATCTGTGATATATTGCATATTTTAGAAAACATTTGCCACCTTGACTTTTTATAACTTTTTAGTTAAAGGCATTCTGTTAAGCATTAAATAACCACATAGTTTAATTGCTCATTTTCCCCAATACACAAGCTTGCCATGTGGATAGAAAATGTATAGGTGCAAACTGATTTTATGTTTACATACTCACCACGTCTGGGTCTGCTTAATGCTCTGTACACCTGACCTGGTATGAACTGCGATAAATCTCTCAAAGTGAGCAAGTCCTGCTGTGTCAAGCCCACACATGGAAGACTAGTAGCGTGGCTAGTAATAGGGCAAAGAATATAACACTTTAAACAAATTTATATCTTTTCATTTACTAACCTCTATATATTGATGGAAAAATTATTTTGGTTTTTAATGTGAAAATGGTAAAATGTGCTTTAAATGGTTCCTTACAAAAACATGATTGGTCAAAAACTTTTTTTTGTTTAAATAACTTTTGCTCATTAATTTTCACATAGTCTCGGGAGCTAGAAATATCTTTATATTGGCATGATCAGAGATCACTGTGTGCCACAAAGACTCTGAAGTTGGAAGAATTCCTGTTGAACCCAAAACAGGAACTGTGCCTACAACTGGAACCACAGGGCACCCTTTTCATCAAGGTGAGAACCAATCTCTGGCCACTATCAATTTATAGTTATATTTTAATGTAATAATACAGAAAACAAAAGAATGATTATGTTACATAACTTTACAATTGAAAGCTGGTGAATGTTCACACTTGGTGAATAAGTGTATAAATATAAATCAAACTGTACTGAAGTGTAAACTGAAATGCACAACTTAGGTAACAATAGGTGATTTGAAAGCATTCCTTAAGTCAGCAATAGTAGTACCTTGGATTTTTAGCCTTAAAGGGACTCTGTTTTCAATTCATGCAATTTGGCGTTTATTGAATAAACCTTTATATATACGTCATATTAGCTTCATTACCACTTATAGTATCTTTGGCAATCTTTGACTTTTTTAGATAAAGGACACTATATTAAGTTATAAACTATTTATCTAAATGAAGGGCTTTGCTTATTGCGATTTCCTGTAGAAGAACAGATTTGAAGCGGTTTACTTTTCCATTTGTGTGTCTGTTTAAATGTTGGTTTGGCAAAATAAGATATTTCCATTTACGTCCTGCACTTAACTCTTTCACCCTGTTTTGGAATAGGTGACATTTTCCAGTCCTTTCACCCAGAAAAGGCCAAAGCTTCAAACAATCAGGAAATTAATCTCCAAAAAACAAGGTAAGTGTATGTTTAACATGCCTCGCATTAAATAGCAAACTGCCCATGGGCCTTTAAAGGCATCTGTCAGGCAGAAATGATTATTATTTGGTTACTGACAAGCGGTGAACCCTTGTACCCCAGTACTAGCCCCCAGTGTGATAGAAAACGTCAAGCTTGTCAAGCAGTGTGAATGCACTCAATAACCAGTGTGGGATTTCACGTTTCATTATCTTACAGGTAGAGGGACTGATACATATACATCCATTCTAACAACCATACTGCAGGATGTACATCTTATATCATATACAGTATACACAGATTAAATTACTTATACCTACCTGAAGATCATCATTTTCACTGGATGCCAGTCCCATTAAACACTAAAGGCATTGGCATTATTGGCTATTGTAATATTATAAGCCATAACTCACAATTAATACATTCAAATAAAGTGCTAGGCTTGGAGATTGTGTTCCTTGTTTTTTCCTTTTGCTTTTACTTTAGAGTTTTTGGATTATGATGAAAGCAGTTCATCCATTATTGATCTCTGTGTACCAAATACAATACTCAAGTTATGTTCTGTGCTACTTTTATAGAAGAGACCACCGAACCAGCTCCACTGGAGGATGCAGCTATTTATGCTCACTCGCTGCCTGTATCGGACACTGAGAGCGTGGAGTCATTGCCTCCGACTGTGGATCCTGAAACAGAAAAGACCATCCAACCAGCTCCAGAGGAGGATGTGGTTACCGATTCTCCTATATTGCCAGTAGCCACTGAGAGCATGCACCCATTAACACCTGATGTTTACACCATTACAGAAGAGACCTTCCAACCACCTCAAGTGGAAGCTACAAAAATTGACAATGTACCAGTAGCGGAGACTGAGATTGTGGAGTCATCACCGCCACCTATCAATGCCATCGCTGCAGAAACCATCCAACAACCTACAGCGGAAGCTAGAATTATTGACAATGCTCCACTGCCAGTAGAGGACTCTGCGAGCATTGAACCATCAACTCAAGCTATTGTAAGCTTGCTAGAAATGACAATCCAACCAGGTCTAGAAGAGGATTTAGTTACTGACACTACTCCATTGCCAGTAGAGGACACGGACAGCGTGGAGCCATCGACGCCAGCTGTCGAAGATACAGAAAAGATAATCCAACCAGCTCCAGAAGAGGTGCCAGCAGAGGACCATGAGAAAGTGGAATCATCACCACCAGCTGTCGCTGATGATATGGAAAACAACATCCAAACACCAACAGAGAAAGATGCAGTTATTGATAACATTGTAGAAGAAACCATTGAACCACCAAAGGGTTTAGTTTGTGACACTGTTCCATTGGCAGAAGCAGATGTCGAAAAGCCATCATCATCAGCTGGGTATTGAGATATTCATCTTTCTCATCAATGCTGTTAACGTATACTATGTGTTATAGGAGCATTTTGTTTTGGATCTTTGTTCTTTCATGGGGGAGTAATTTTATGTAATGTAACTTTAAATATATTTAAAAATGTGTTCTTTTCTTTGCAGTATTCAGCAAGGAGTTCGGCTGAGCATTCAGGATTTTGATTGTCTCTGTGTGCTGGGAAGAGGAGCATTTGGAAAGGTGGGCTTTGGGGTAAATTCCACTTTCAATATAAAAGGTGTCTAGATAAATGCTAGGTCACAATATATATATGTATTTTACATTTCAGGTTCTGCTTGTTGAGGACAAGCGTACAAAGATGAAATTCGCTTTAAAAGCCCAGAAAAAACAAGATATAACTGGAACTATAAGAGTACCAAGGTCAGTAAATGGAGAGTACTTAAAATCCTAATTTTTTTTATTAGTTTTTTGGATGGTGATACTATTTGTCAGTTTTTATTTGTGCCTAAGAGTTACCTTTATTAAAGTGATTAATTGGGGTCAAGGCCTGAGCCTCATGGCAGCTGGTTGCCATTCAAAAGAAGAAAAACTACCACAACACGAGGACATAGTCTTAAAGTAGAGGGACAAAGGTTTATAAATAATATCAGGAAGTATTACTTTATTGAGAGGGTAGTGGATGCATGGAATAGCCTTCCAGCTGAAGTGGTAGAGGTTAACACAGTGTGGGAGTTGAAGCATGCGTGGGATAGGCATAAGGGTATTCTAGCCATAAGAAAAGGCCAGGGACCAATGAAAGTATTTAGAAAAATTGGGCCGACTAGATGGGCCAAATGGTTCTTAACTGCCGTCACATTCTATGTTTCTATTTGCATCTTGACAGTGCTACTCACATAGCTCCTATTTAAGCTTATTCTTGAGGCAATCTGCATAAACAATCAACACATTCAGTGCCCTACCAGCTGCTAACACTGAATGGAACAATCCGGTCCGGGCAGAAGAGGTGGCCAATCTTCTGTCCTGTGAAGCACAACTCTCCGTCCTGTGAAGCACAACCTACAGTGTCTCCCCCTGGGCCGGTGCGGGTTATCTCGGTCCCACTGCGCTACCCGTCACCAGTCTGGAATCGTAAAGCAGTGTATTGGAATGCAACTCTGAACGCAGGATGGTTGAGGTACTCTCCCATCAGGGGCATGCTGTAAATATAACAGAGCAGCCCTGGAGTGACCCCGT